CCGTGGCGCGTGCTACATGCACGGCCACGCCCTTCGGTCGAAACGATACTTTAAACATGAGATCTCTCCGAACACTTAACCTTATCTGAACATGATTTTACATATAAAGACTAAACATACGAAGATTGTTCGGAGAATTCGAATTAAATCATAACATGACTCGATCTCAACTACACACGACAACCATGACCCGATACGACTACTTGCACAACCTTAACTAATACGCGACACACATGCGAGCCTGAACTGAAGAAACATGATAATCTCGGCTCACAATTACACGAGAATTACCTTCAACTGATCTCAAGTAACAGCGTTTCTCGGGTTCTCGCGCTCGGCGTGACTCTCCGCGTACGGGCGTCGTCGTGCGGGTGTTGTGGTGCAGCATGCGATAGACACTACTTGCGATAGCTTGCCGAACGTATACTGAGCTTAAGAACACTCCCTCCTTATCACTATCTCTCACTCAATATGAAGGCTGAAGATGGGAATATATGTGTAACTTAAACGTGTATAGAAGATGGGAAATTTTCCTCCCAACACCTCCTTATATATGGCACCGAATGGAGAGGCTAGGATGTGTCTTAATAAAATTAAGGACACTTGGAACATGCTTAAGCTCTCTTAGGTGACTAAGCACCAAATAAATCCACATAATGCCACGTTAAACTCCTTAACAATGAAGAAAATTTGGACAAAATTCCCACTTCTCACCTAAATTAAGAGTACGGCACTTGACATATTTGGATGCAAATTCCATACGGCTTTTGTGGTTTAATTATGTGGTTAACTTACTAATTAACCACTTAAACATTTTTAATTATTTAATTAAACATAATGCTTAATTACCAAAATTATTCCGAATGTAAACGGTACGTCGAAAATAATTTTCGGTAATTTCGACTGAACTGACTGAAAATAATTAATTCCGAAAATTAATATCGGAACTAAAAACATAATTTATACTGATAAACTGACGGGATATTACAATCCTCCCTTCTTACAAAATTTTCGTCCTCGGAAATTCAAAACATAGCTGAATATACATGAACTGTGTACATAGAATAAGAAAATATGTACATCAAAATTGAAAATCTGGAAAACGAGCGCGAATATCGGACTCCACCTCCCAAGTAGCTCCGTGGCGATCCCACTGAATACGCACGAGGGGAACATCTCGCTTCCAGAGCTGATGAACCTGACGGTCTAATACAGCTACCGGTCGCTCCTCGTACGAAAGATCTGGCTGAACCTGAATATCGGAGTGGGGAATAACATGATCGGGGTCGCACACGTACTTAAGCAACATCGATGCGTGAAATACATTATGAATGCCTGATAACTCGGGAGGTAGGGCTAATCGATACGCGACCTCGCCTACTAG